ATGAAAATGTGGCACTAGCTCAATACATCCCAGTCATTTTGTTTGACTTAGGGTCCATGCTGTGCTTACATTTCAGATGGAAAGACCACATCATATATTGTAAGTACTGGAGAATTTGTGGTAATCTTGGATTTGTTTCCTATTCCTAAAAAGGAAATAGCAGCTTTGGACATGTACAAAGTGGTAGTCTGAATACAACCTCTTAACAGACCACAGGAGTGTTTTTCTGATCCCTGTATCTGTTTTATGACAGCACAAAGAATTACTCATTGCAGTACTTTGTTTCCTTTCCAAAAACATCTAGAGCTTACTAGCAGTGCCCTCATTTATTTTTTGCCTCTTGCTGCCCACTTAAGTGCTTGTTAAAGCAATTTGTTTTGGACTAATCCCTGAATTGCACAGGGTTTACATTATGACTTCTTTTTGAGAAAATTCAATTCATAAAAATATGCAAATGGCTGGAAAAGGATTTTTTCACACAAATAAAACTTTAATGTGAAAAGGGACATTAGCGAATGAAAGAAGAGGTGGCAAAGATAGCATCAGATTAAAAAACAGTTAAACAAATGTCAGGTGGCTACACAATGTGTTTTTTGGTTATTTTCACTGGACTGCTATCATCATAATCATATACCATGAAATCAGTTCTGACTTATAGTGACCCTTTTCATGTATTTCCAGGTAGAAAATACTCAGAGGTATTGTCAGGTTGGTGTTGAGTGTGAGCAAATTTGATTGCATCTACCCAGTTCTGGCTCACCTACACTGGTAACCTGTGAGTTTCCATGTCAGGTTTTGATTCTTTTCTACAAAGCCCTCACTGATTTGGGCCCTTGCTACTTTACCTACACTGGTAACCTGTGAGTTTCCATGGGCCCTTGCTACATCTTGGAGTGCCTTTCCTCAAGAACATCCACCTATACCACCAGATCTTCGCAGGCAACGCTCCTATGGGTTGCCATGCCAATGGAGGCTGGAAAGACACTCACCAGAAATTGTGCATTCTCAGTAGTGGCACCATCCCTTTGAATGGACTCCTGGTTGAGCTGTGCCCCCCTCCCTCCCTTTAGGAGACTGATTAAAATGATGTTTTTTAAAAGAGTTTTTATGGGGATCCTCTAAAGCAGGGGGTCTCCAAACTACAACCCATAGACAACATCCTATGGCCTGCTTTGCCTTTTTATCTGGCCTGGGCATAGGAAGAGGAGGGAAGAGGGACCAAGCGATCCCCCTCCCCCACTGTCTTTGCAAAGATAGCAGGGGTGGGGGATCACTGGGGTCCCCCTTCCCTTCTTCTGCCCTCAAAAATGTGTAAAATATATGATGTGGCCCTCATACTGAAAAGTTTGGAGACCCCTGCTCTAAAAAGTTGCGGAATTTGCCCTGTCATCAGACAGAACAGTATTGACATAATTGGAGAAAGGGATACTGTTTAATATTTGTTCCTATTTGCCTCCTACATTTTACATCTGATTTAGCTCTGTTAACTACATGATATGACAAAAAGGAAGTATCCAGCTCATAGGGCTGCCATTGCTGTTTTCTCTCTCCGGGAGGAAACCAAACGTGCATCTTATTGCCCTAATATCAATGTGCTATTACACATGTAAATAAAGGAGCTGCAATCATATTGGCATTTCTGTCTAGTTGGTGTACCTTATTGTGGCTAATTGTGGCTAACTTATAGGGTGCTGGAATACATATCGCCTCTGCAATTGGGTGTGTGAGTAAGCATACAACTGAGATACACTCCAGCACCCATTCAATTAGCTGCATGGAATATGCTTGATCACTAGAGGTCGCCGTGACACTTATAGTATAAGCAATGAGTAGCTGGGGTTTCTTGAATAATACAAGTGAAGAGAGTGGAAGAAAGACTCATGGGAATGAAAATATGGATTCCCCAACACTCCTGAACTCATCGCTTGACAGCATCCATTTTCTTTGGTACCTTTCACGTTCATGAACACTTAACTCCCAAGTACTTTGGATAACCTTACCACACTAAGTCTTCAACTTCCTGATCTTTACAATTTTTCTGTTCTTCCTAAAATCCAGATTATAATCTTTATTTCTTCATTCACCACTACTGTTCAAGTTCATTTAACAGATAAACTATTTTGCTTACATGTATAGATTCTTTTTTCTTGCCCTTGTGAAGAAAAGTTGAGGAATTAAAGTCCATGAATTATGCTGAATATAGACATGTTTGTTAATATCAGAGTTCCAGCATTAAAAGATTCTGGATAGAGGGAAGAATCTCCCATTCCTATATTTTCTAGTGTCATTATCAGTGTCATAGTTAATTACAAACTGCTATACTTATGTTGCTGCACTAGGAAACAATCCACCCATCTATCTGTCCATTCATTGTTTTCCTACTTCTAGTGACTCTACCTTGATGACCAAAATACCAAGGAATCATCATACTATGATAAATCACTTTTACCATATCTCTTTACTTACAAGTTCTATCTTCTTGCTCTTCCCACCAGCTCTCCTGTCTCTCAGTTCCCTCATCACACATATATTGCTGCTGTTTTGAATAGCACAACGTTTGACTAAACGAGATGAGATATGACAGAAATCTCTAAATGTATCACCAGACTTTTAAAATTTGGACTGGTCTGTTCTGAGAAATTATATCTACAGTGGTGCCTCGAATAGCGATGTTAATGCGTTCCACAAAAAACATCGCTATTTGATTTCTTTGCTATTCAAAACGCGGTTTCCCATTGAAATGCATTGAAAGCCGGCTAATCCGTTCCAATAGGAATGAATTGCCGTCGCTATTCAAAAATCTCAATGGGAAACATCGCTAATCAAAACGCAGTTCCCCCATTGAAATGCATTGAAACCTATTCAATGCATCTCAATGGGGGAACAAAAATTTAAAAATAAGAACAAAGCCAGCCAGCGCGGGAGCGAGGAAGGAGGAGGAAGCCAGCCAGCCAGCCCAGAAGGAGCGTCGCGCCCGCCCACCCGTCCTTGCCTGCCGGTGGGCACCCGGCAGGTCCCTTTGTCCTTCTCCTCCCTCGAACCCCAGTGCCGCCAGGAGGAGCCTGGCACCCGCCGCCTCCTCCTCGGAGGAAGAGGAGGAAGTAGAGCAGGAGAAGGGGAGCCAGGTGAACGGGCACACCAGGGCCCTTTCCCTTCCCCCGCCGCCGGCGCCACCACCACCTTCCCCTGCCGCCGTCACCGCCTCCTCCTCGGAGGAAGAAGAGGAGGAGTGGGAGAAGGGGAGGCAGGTGCACGGCCGCACCAGGGCCCTTTCCCTTCCCCTGCCGCCGTCACCGCCTCCTCCTCGGAGGAAGAAGAGGAGGAGTGGGAGAAGGGGAGGCAGGTGCACGGCCGCACCAGGGCCCTTTCCCTTCCCCTGCCGCCGTCACCGCCCCACCACCGCTAACCGAAAATTGCCCATAGGGGCCATCGCTAATAGAAACGTAAAAATGCCCTGAAAAACACATCGTTATTCGATTTCTTCATTAACTGAAGCGCTCGCTATTCGAGGCACCACTGTACATACATTTTCCCTAATAGAGCAAATAGCATCTAGGGTAAAAGTCTTCATTGGGAAAATGACATATATAAAAAGATTAACCCTTTCTCCAGAAGTGCACTTTAGTTTAAAAAAAATCTAAAGAGACACTAGATTGCATCATGGATATGTGTTGGCTCTACCTTTACTCAAAGTTGGGCCAAAAACTGGGTCTGGTACTATCTCTATTCAACTCAATATAAATGCTCCTTTTTTGGAAGATTTTCTAAGTTACTTAAAGCATTTTGTCAGGGAGGTGGAGAACTATATTTCAAGTGACGTGTAAGGATTTGGAAAGACATCAGGGTTTTCTGCTAGCTTGAGCAAAAATTTGCATGGCATAATTTGCATGCAAACATGTTTGATTTTTGTCCTCGAACTCTGAAGATTCTTTGGGAGAGCCATCAACAAATTTATGGCCAGAATCCTATTTCTGTTTGCATAAGATTGGCATCACTTGCAATAGTTAAATGCAACTAACTGTTGAGGCGCCAAGGCATATCATGGTTATGCCTTTGTGCGACAAAAAAACAAGCCCCACCCAATCAAAGTTGGGCCAAAAACTGGGTCTGGTACTATCTCTATTCAACTCAATATAAATGCTCCTTTTTTGGAAGATTTTCTAAGTTACTTAAAGCATTTTGTCAGGGAGGTGGAGAACTATATTTCAAGTGACGTGTAAGGATTTGGAAAGACATCAGGGTTTTCTGCTAGCTTGAGCAAAAATTTGCATGACGTAATTTGCATGCAAACATGTTTGATTTTTGTCCTCGAACTCTGAAGATTCTTTGGGAGAGCCATCAACAAATTTATGGCCAGAATCCTATTTCTGTTTGCATAAGATTAGCATCACTTTCAATAGTTAAATGCAACTAACTGATGAGGCGCCAAGGCATGCCTTTGTATGACAAAAAAACAAGCCCCACCCAGCATCTTATCAATTAGCCAACTTAACTGCAGCAAGTTATGCAAACCTTATGTAAATATCAATTCTGGCCCATATATTTTAGTGCCCTTTAATTTGTTTCTAAACTTTCAACTTGTTTTATATAATAGGGAAATATTCAATTACGTTTATGCTATCACTGTGGGAACCAACTATCTTACCAGAAGATGAGACCTTATCATGTGACCAACCTCATGACATTAGAAAATCGTTAAGTTTATTCTGCATCAAACGTATAATTTTTGTGGTGAATATAATACAATCATTTTTGTTTTATGTATTCTGGTACTCTATTAATTCTATACTGCCAAAACATTATTTTCATCAGATTTTCTGTTCAGAAGGGGGGGAAAAACTTCTACCTGTCTATGTGAAAGATTCTTAACATAGGTCATTTATGTTAACATATATATAAACTGTTCTTTATTTTGTCTGGGTCTAGACTAGTACATTTTCTGATGATACACTGACATTGTTATGGGTGGTAGGTTTTGTATAATACACACCAAGATAAAGGAGTTTGCCAGTACCATTTAATATAAAAACATACATACATTGGAAATTTTGTATTTTTGGACAGTTTAGAGGTATCAAAAATTCTCTGTAAAGTGATATGTGGAAAAAATACTGGTAAATTTGAAGACAGTTATTCCAGAAATGTACAGCCCTGTTGTGATACTAAAGCCAGTAGCAGAGATAGGTATACAGAAGGTTTGTTTTCAGAGGACTTTTCGCTGAGAAGAGACTTCTAAATGAGCTTTTCTAGTTCTAGCCTGCTGATGTTCCTTTTCCTAAATATAGTTCTAGATATGATAACACTGGTAATCTGTGTATCTCTCTACATCATATTTAAAGATATTTAAATTCTAATGTGGTTACAATAATGTGCAGTGCTGTATTTGAGAACACTCAATTAAGGTTGTGGGTTAACTCCAGTTTAATTTACACATGTCTGCCATTACACTGGTTATTGTATATTCAGTAATTTTGAGGATGGGATGCCAGCTATATTAGGACATTACTGCAAGCTCAGCAAAGATTCTTCTGGCGTTTTAAAGACTGACAAATTTTATTTTGCAAAAACTTTTGAGGATTGCAGTCCACTTCATCTAACACCAACGAACTGTGTAGAAACATTGCATGATGGGTTATAGCCAACAAAAGGGTTTGTACAAGAAAGGAAAAGGCATTGCTTATCTAGAAATCATCAGTTATAATCTAGAAATGGCAGCAGCCACAGACACTATACTAATATGGGGTTCCTGTGTAGAATGTTTTCTTATTTCTACATGGGAATTATTTGAGAAGGCATAAACATATTTCAAAGAGGAAATGTGCATATATTAAGAGATTAATTTTAACCAAGATACAACAAGAGCAACATTTTATATTGCTTATGATATATATATATAAGATACATTAATGCCTACACAGGCTTTAAACAGGTAGTAGGCAGTATTTAGATTGATGGGGTTTGGTAAACTCTTCAGTTGAAGATTTTCCTCCAACAATAAAAAATATACACACATTAAATGTTTCATTTCTCCCCCCACCCCACCCCAAGTAATTTCTTTGTTTGGCTTTGAAGCAAAGAATACAATCTATATAATTTCTAATTATTAAAAGCTTGACAAATATTTACCCCAAATCTCATGCACAGTGAAGTACTGTAATCTGTTGTGCTCAGCTAATTGAGAGATACCAGAGAAATATACCACATACTGGCAATGAAATGAAAATTACATAAATTCAGCAATTTCTTTTGGAATGATCTGTTTGGCTGTTTACATATATCCACTCTGCAATTAAGTTTCCAGTATTTAGTTTTAATGTTTAGGAACAATTTTAACAGAAAAGTGGTATTGATGGCAGAAATGTATCTGTGTATCTATTTGTAATTTCCAAGTTGTATTACAGATCGTTCATAGATACAGCGGAAGGAGGACGGCTGGATTTCCCAGTACTGCACAGGGTTACTGAACAGGCTCACTCCTGAATAGGAAGCCTTCTTGGTGTTGTATCCAGGAGGACAAAAATCATTAGGGCCAACGGCAGCAATTTTGTTGTTGTGAAGGTAGACCACCTGAAAAATCAACAATATTGTAGACATGAAACAATCAAGCTATCATACTGCCACACAACAGGGGAAAATTCATAATACTTTAGTACATAGATTTGCAACTGTTTCAGTCACAATTACTTCTAAAGATTCACCTTCTCAATAGATTTAGATTGTCTGGTGCATGCAGCTGATACATTTCTCCTATACCAGGGGACTCCAAACTACAGCCACATCCAGCCTACCCTACTTTTTTTTATCTGGACCAGGGATAGGAAGAGGAGGGAAGGAGGACCCAAGACAGCAAGGGTGGGGGATCACTTGGGTCCCCCTTCCCTCCTTCGGCCCTCAAAAATGTGTAACATATATTATGTGGCCCTCGCTGAAAAGTTTGGAGACCCTTGTCCTATACCATCACATTTCGCTAATATACCACACTTCAGGTAGCCAATTTTTAACCCATATGTGACTGGCTCCGTATGTCACTACTTGCTTACTCTAAGTATCCAGACTAAGAAACATTATTTCCAACCATGTTCTAATCTAGGGTTGCCATGGTCCAATTCTCTCAACATTCACACTCTCTAGTGTGAATGTTATGCGAATTGGGTAGCTTTATTGGCATCATATACAAATCTGTATATTATGTAAATTACAAAAAATACATGTTGCATTTTTCTATTAATATCTTACAGCTTTGACATCATTTATATGGAACCCCCAGGTTTGACAGAGGCAATATACTGTAATGATTATTTGTTGGACTTAAAAAGTAGAGATACTGGTTGAAATCCCAACTTGTGTATGTTTGCATGTGTGCATATGTGTGCATATGTGTGCATGTATTTATTTATTTATTTAATTTAATTTAATTTATACCCTGCCTATCTGGACTACCAGACCACTCTATTTCAAAGCCCGCCTATCTGGACTACCAGACCAGTCTATTTCAAAATGATACTGATCTAAAGTGATATCTCCCATATTTTGTGTCCACTTGTCAGTAGAAATCATTTCTAAATAATGACTCCAACTAACTACAGTATTGGTTTGCTTCACTACTGTGGGCTATTTTGAGATACATTCTAGAGCTTTGCAGCATCCAGAATCCTTCAATCAGAACAGTCACTGTCTATGCTGACTGAGAGATTCTGGGAGAAATAAAGTAACTATGTCAGTATCTGCTCCATAGTAAGCTACAGGTATCTTGTAGAGTTAGACTATCTTGATTGCTGCCATTGGTGTTCTCAACATTCAGACTGTTCTTTGCTGTTTAAAACTTGGCATCCTTTTTCCTGTTGGCAAGTTATTGTGCAACAATATTGGGCCATTTCCTGGTCTTTTGAATCATGGATACAGAAGCACAATATCCCACATTTTTTAAAATGGAGGGTTTTAAAAGAATTGCATTAGAATAACTACTACAGTGTTTCTCTGAAAATAGGACAGGGTCTTATATTAATTTTTGCTCCGAAAAACGCATTAGGGCTTATTCTTAGGGGATGTTTTATGTTACAGTCATGTCATCTTCTGGTTTCTACACAATGCTGCACAATGGTGGAGGGTGGGGTGTCACTTAACTAGGGCTAATTTTGGGGGTAGGGCTTATATTACGAGCATCCTGGAAAATCATACTAGGGCTTATTTTCAGGTTAGGTCTTATTTTCAGGGAAACAGGGTAAATAAACTGTGTACAAGAATAAGCAAAAGTGAACACTTACAAAGAGGTCAACCCACAGTGTAGCTGCTGTGGCAGATAAAATATAATTGTGGGAAGAAGTAGCCTGTTTTTTCTATATCTGCAACATTTACACATTAGAGGATGAGATTTTAGTTTATATATCCATGAGATGCCATCAAACTGTGTTTGGCTTCATTCGTCTATCTATCTGTATCTATCTATCTATCTCATTAATGGAAACTTGGAATACAGGCTTGCTGATGGGCTGAAGGAGCACCAGATTATATGCTTAAAATAGGATATAACCCTACAAACCCAGTTCTGTTCACTCTTCTATAAGAAACTGATTTGGGCATGGATAAATAGACAGTATGGAGGGAAATGGGAATACATGCTCTAGCTCTGCCCTGCTCCACCTTGATTTTTCCATAACTGAGGATGTAGTTTTCTGCACAACTAAGATCCTGGATTGCATTAGATTTAAAGATGGAGAGTGTTGTTACATTCATCCAAATACAGAAACAATTTTTGTCAGTTCTTTCCTGTCAACATGAGAAGATTGATGTAGAAGGAGTGTTCCTCTCTTTTAGAAAGGTAAAGGTTCCCCTTGACAGTTTGTCCAGTTGTGTATGACTCTAGGCGGTGGTGCTCATATCCGTTTCCAACCCATGGAGCTGGCATTTTGTCCACAGACAATCCTCTGTGTTCACGTGGACAGCGTGACTAGACACAGAATGCTGTTTACCTTCCCACTGAAGTGGTACCTATTTATTTACTCGCATTTTTGCATTTTGCATGCTTTCGAACCACTTAGCTACCATCAAATCTTTGTTAGGAAAAACTGCTATAATGAATAGTGTATGCTGTCTATGAGTTAAATATTCCTAGTTACAGTATATTCAAGCGCTTATAATATACTATGCTTTACCTGTATGTACTTGTGCTCTCCCAATCCAGAAGGTACTTTGGAAAGTTCATTGTTGTTCAAATGAAGCTCTCTCAAAAGTGGTGTATTAGCTAAAGAGCCATTATCAACACTAGCAATGTTGTTATGACTGAGACCAAGCCTATAAGGGGAAAAATAGTTTTGCAAGTTATAATGCAATAGCTGTTTCATATGCAACTGCTTCATTCAGTATATTTGTGAAACACATTTTTGACATGGTTGTTGTGGGTTTTTCGGGCTCTTTGGCCGTGTTCTGAAGGTTGCTCTTCCTAACGTTTCGCCAGTCTCTGTGGCCGGCATCTTCAGAGGACAGCACTCTGTGCTCATTCATGGCACATTTTTGACAACTTATATTTTCGTATGGATTATATTAGAGATGTTTCCTAGCCATGTTACAAGATGCTACAACTACATACTTTACCTCAGTCCTTCCACAGTGGTGCCTCAACTTACAGATGTCCCCACTTATGAACATTTCAACTTACGAACAGCTCCGTTCGCAAAATTTTGCTTCAACTTGCAAATAGAGCTTCAACTTACGAACAATAAAAATCATGGGGGAGGCAGGGAAAGCACAAAATTTGAACTTTCAGTTAACTGTTGGCCAGCGAAGAGGCTGATTGTCTGCTACTGCACTCATCCCAGCGGTTAAGTGAGTGGATAAGGAGAGAGACTTTGGATTGCCAGTTACTGCCTGGTATTGCCTTGTACTGTACTGCCTGGTACTGTACTGTATGGATTGTACTTTTTTTGGGGGGGGGAGGTCTTTATTTTTTAATTCTTGATTTTTGGATTTTTGACTTTCTTTTTTAAAATAGAGAGATTGCCTGTTCTGGGTGAGTAC